CGCGCGTTACTTCGTGGCACTTGCCTCAGGCTAGTGCCACTAGCGCTACTTTGTACTTCAATCAAAAAATTTAGGCGAGTAACTATAACATCCGTCAAAATGGAATTCATTATTCATAATTTATAATTCAATAAAGTTTCTATTACGCTCCGATCAAATGTAATTTATAAAATAAACGTTCGACAAATGCTTTTTTTATATTTGTGCTACAAATTACGAATAATCATGTAGACAAATTCAAAACATGTGCTAGAGTTAGACCGTTCGGCTCCCAATGTTTGGGTTGCGATTTTTATGTTAAGGAGTCTACCAAACCTCTATTTGCAAAACATAAATTACTAGCTGTAGAGAACCTATATAGACTACGTTGCCTAATGGAATTTTTTAAGATAATTAAGACAAGAGTACCAATTTCAATGTTCTCTTTGTTCACCATATCTCATAGGAAAGACAATATGTTAATCACACCTTCTCCAACTAAACAATTCATCTATAAATCAGCGTGGCTGTGGAATGAGTTTTGTAAAATTGGCTCATTTAATTTTAAGTCCTCTTGTTCTTCTGTTAAGAATAAATTACAAAAGTCATTGATGAATGCCCAAAACAGGTATGGTGCTGAATGGAATGACAAAAATTTCACTGAATTCTAAGTTAAACACAATATAATCCAGGTATCGGCAGGCGCTGCCGCCAAACGACATTATCATGCATATACTTCTTTATTTTCAGCAGCTAGTATGTTAGCGCGCATAACAAGGCGCGTTAGCATTTTACCGCCATTCTAGGTCTCACTGATTTCACAATACACAATACACAATATGTCCAATTTGATTCTAATTGTTGCTCCTAATCTGATAATTCTAATGACAGTGACTGCTCCCTATTAACCAACCGACCAACATTTTCGGTCGAACCCTAAAATTACTAATACCAAATTTAAACCCCACATATGCGTGTATAGTCTCCAAATCTTCTCTCTGCTCTCGGACTTTGTTCTTTTGAATAGAACTGTAAACTGTTTGTATACTTTAACAAATAGTGATTTTAACTTTGAGATAAACTGCTATATTATTATATTTTTGTACCAATGTTCACCTAACTTAACGTTTCTCACTGACACCATCGCCGGCAACCAATTTTAAAGTAAAATTTATTAACGACCTGACTACAGACTGGCGGTCAACGTTCCCCATATAGTAGCTCAGCGGAGGGGGTAATCAGGGCACGTGTTAATGAAAAATGTACGTGTCCTTCCACAATCCCTTTTGATAGGCAATATGAAATTACACATCTTACTTTAACTTTATCCCGTCACCCATGGACTTATTAATTAACGGCTGGTGGTGGTGTCATCGTTTGTCGTACTCAAAACGTTTCGCGGTTGCGAATGCCGGCCCATCGAGGAAAATCTTTTTACTTTGTATTTTAACCATTATAAAGTATGATTAGTCGGATATAGTACTGAGTTCAAACAGTCCCCGAAACGTAAAAGCAAACATTTGATTTTTGTTTCGGCGACTGAATTGTTGATGGGCCGGCAAATATTTGTTGTCGAGTAGTGTTGAATACTCATATTAACATGATTATTGATTTAATTTAGGAATTGTATATAACTATCTTTGACCAAGTTTAATTGTTAATGAGAATGCACCCCAGCACTGGGCGCGCGCGGCGGCTTTGATGTTAGCGGCTACAAGCTTGAAGCTAGGCAGCTGCAGAAAAGGCGCCGCGCGCGTTCACAGTTCAGCGTACGGCTTTTCGTTTTTGATTTTACAAATGACAAAGCAACTTTTAATGATTATTAATGGAATTATCGGATATTTATAATTCAATATGTATTGATTCTTCTGTGGAAAATAAAAATTGTATTTTACTTTAAAAAAATTGTATTTTACTTGTTTCAACGAGGTAAGCTGGTAAGAAATTTATCAAAACTTTAACTGTATGTTAAGAGGTGATATTCGCATAAAACGCTCCTATTGCGCGTTTTAGAGGGTTCAATTACGCCAGCTAGGCTATGTTTATGAATATAATAACCCGAGGTCCCCTAGGTCATAGGTAAGCTTTTGCTCTAATCAGTGCCTTCTCGCTTGCAGTAGCCGCGTGACCTCGTGCAAGCGCGTCACGCAGTACGCGTAGACACATTTTTTGAAATAAAATAGAATAAAATAACATTTAACATGATGCAGCTTTTATGTTTTAAACAAAAAAGCTTAGCGTCACTGCGGTTTAAAGTAAAAATTAGGTGTATGAAACAACAAATTTCAACTAAACAAGAAATTTAGTTTTAGCAAATTTTACAGAATCAACAAAGTTATAACAATGAAAATATAACGCTCATTTGGTGTACAACTTTTTGTCCTTAACTAAACTGCCAATTATTGGGCCGTTAACAGACGAACAACTAACGTGACATGAAGGAATGTACGGGCCTGGAAGCTTTTGATCATGCACCGAAACGTTAGTCCAGATGAGGGTCGGAGAATAGGCAGAAGCTTGCAATGTTTATTTTGGAGGACTTCGCCTCTTCGACGCGCCGCGCGAACTAGCATTCTTGCGAGCAACGATCTCGATGGGTTGACATCGTCAATCACTGTTAATTTATCCTATTCAAGACAAAAGGCATGCCAAAATATCGATCCCTCAACAATTTTAGTGGTTACAGGAAATGTCAACTTAAATTTTATTGTCGAATCGTAACATCAGCATGGTTCATTACAAGTTCAAAGTTAAATGTTGAACTCTGTTGGGGTCGTAAACCTTAAGTTGAATAGTGTGTCATACAAAATTACGGTATAATGTAGTGGAGCAATATTGTTCATTGTTCACTACATATTGTTTCTTAAGGGCACCCTCTGGTTAAGATGCATGCTGATAGTATTCAAAGTCATGCTTGATTAATTACTGACTAATTCTATTGTGTGATGCGTAATTCACTTCTTTTGTGACTCGACTGTTTATCATCATCAGCAGTTGTGTGAAGTTAAGTTGTGTTGAGTCTACTTTTCAAGGCTGGAGAAAATGTAATATCCATCCATCCATTATTTCACACCTGAGTAGAATACCTGAAGCCTAGCTATGTTATTAATAAAGAGAAGCATAACTATTATCTTTATTTCCACCCTTTTGTGGCAAAAAAGCGATTTATAAATCTTTATTCCATTGGGAAGTATGAATAGGGTTATCTTTTGGGGATGCTTTTTGAATTTATTTCAATTTTTAAAAATAAAGTTGTAATTTTTTAAAATAATAAATTGTTTCAATTAGATTAGATTAGATTAGATTAAGAATAATGACATAAACATCATCACTAGTTTCAATCTGAGAATATGCCACCTTTCTTTCTCGAAACATGTATCCTATTGTATTTCATTATAGTATTAAGATGTGAAGATATACTAGATATTACAACGAAATAGAGGTATACCAAATAGGCCCCTGATATTAACTATAACCGTGTTGATGGTTTTAAATTTTGTATGTTGTAAGCATTTTAGTTTGTGAAGCGTTTACTCCTCCCCCTCAGCAAGACAGTTAGATTGTAGATTAATGATTATAATTGTCAAATGACGTAATATATTATATAACAGTTATAAATGTTCAAAAGTGTAGAGCGATTTCAAGAGTAGTGGTCCACAGGGGTCCGAAAAAGCCGTACAGGCACTTGGGTCCTTATCCTTGTCACTAATCTCAATTGGATTAGGTTTACACAAAACATGAACATTTAGACGTACACATTGACACGATATTTATTAGAAAGCAAAAAGTATAAAATAATACGTGCGTGCGCGGCTTGAGCCGCGCCGCATAAGAACGGATGCGTGCAGGGGCTGGAGTATGCTTGTATGTAGATTAATGAAATGTTGCATTGTAAATATTTAGAATTGACGATATATTATGATCTAATAGTAAATTTTACAAAGCTGGCTTTGGATTTAGGTAAGATTATAATTTATTTAAAAAACCACGGATACTGGATAGTTTTGAAATTTATTTCTATTTGTCGTACAATCATAAACAAGTTAATCCTGTTTTCAAGAATGCGCGGCTTTGGCGTCCAGTTATTGACTTATACCTTAAATTGAATTTTAAATAGAAATGTGAATATTTAAAATTTGAAACTTTCAAAACGGAGGCTTATAAATATTATTATATTATGATTGTAAAATAAAGGATAGCTTCCTTTCTCTACTTCCTGGACCCTTGCACCGTTTTTTCTCATTTCCATGGGACTGGTACATTGCTGGGATCGATTTGCTTGCATTGGAGGGGCTGGGGCATGGAATACCCTTACATCAAAAAATGCCCTCTCTGAAGCATTCCTAATCGATCTTGCAGAAATGTCCATCCTAGCTTGGTCTCCTAGGACTGTTCCCTTTGGCAGCTCTAGACCATCAACTGGAAGAAGAACTGGTTCAGTCTGCACATCCTTGCATTTCACAGTTCTCATTAGTTCTGCAAAGGTGTCCCTCAACGAGTTGTTTTCATGAATGTGCAGCTTTGACGGCCAGTTATTGACTTATACATAAAATTGAATTTTAAATAGAAATGCGGATATATTGAAATTTTAAACTTTCAAAACGGAGGCTTATAAATATTATTATATTATGATTGTAAAATGAAGGATAAAATTTTAAATTTGTTTCACTAAATTTGTTTCACTATCTTAATGATTTTTCTTATTTAATCCTAGTTTTTCCCTAAACGTTTCTACTGGAAAATGCATACACATCAACGTTTATTTAGTGTATCAAGTTTAATACCCTTACCTGGTTTAGATTATAAATGTGGATTACTTTTTCAGGTTTTATTGTGTCCTGAATTGTTTTCAAGGCACAACTGTGCATTTTTAGTTATTGTGCCACTATAATAGAAAAGTTTAAATTATTATATTATTATTATTATTCAAATATTTCTTTTTCCTTCAGTCATTGCAGTCTCAGGGGAATTGTATGGTTAATTTCTGTGTATGTTGATTGTACTACCAAACGTCAATAAATTAAAAATTTCCAGCGATGTTCCACAGCAGCAAGCAACGAAATATGCTTTTCAAAAGCGAGTCAGACATACAGGAAATCAGGAACAAAGTTAATCAAAACTTCAGAGATTCCAATCAAGAGTGTTCAGAATTCTTCATCTCTCCTGAGGATGAACGTTTACTTTGCAGAAAGTTTGAAAGAGAACTGCTTCGATTTTGTAATGTATGTCTAACCCTAGTGTAAAGCGCAAATGTGTATGATTTTACTAGTTATAGAGTATGTTATTGCCCACGTTAAGGGGCCTGTTAATAATTAACTTATTAAAATTATTAGCTATTTTAGATTTAATAATAATATAGACAAAGTGCAAACTATGAACTGATATAATTCGAGGTAACATGTATTTTACCCTGTAATATGCACAACCTATAACAGACTTACTAAATTCTGTTTCCAAATTTCAACTGGGTTTCTTCCTCTACCAGGAACCTGATACAAAAATATGTGGCATACTTTTTAAAGCATTTCTTTATATATAATAACAAAGTATTGTTCAGGTATTTGAGGAACCACCACTTTTCCGAAGCATCAAATGCACAGCCATGAACTTTCTTAAAAGGTTCTATCTGAAACACTCTGCCATGGAGTTCTATCCCCAGAATGTCATGCTGTTGTGTGTGTATTTTGCTTGCAAAGTTGATGAATACACCATTGGTGAGAAGCACTTCTTGGTATTTAACTTCGATTTATAGTTTTGCTATCTCTTATACATTGTTTAATATATAATTGAAAAACTTGCTGTTTCATTGACACCCAAACTATAACTATACCATTTTTCAGGCATTGACAAGTTTGTTTCGATGTTGGAAGAAAGTCTACAATTTGAAACTGGCTCATTCATCCTTGGAAATGAGTTCCTACTTATGGAGGCATTAGACTATTCTCTGACTGTGTATAATTCTTATCGTCCTTTGGATGGCTTTTTAATAGAGTTAGAACACAAACTTTCTAAAGAATCAGCTGACTGTCTGAAAAGCCATGCCTTGTCTTTCATTAATGATGCCATTTTAACTGATGCTACCTTAATTTATTCCCCATCCCAAATTGCTCTATCATCTCTGGTTTACAGGTATAAACATTATAAATTTTATGAATAACTATTGAAAATAATCATTGAAAAATGATCGCAATTAATATAATATTAAGTTCAACCTATTTTTCATCGATTTAAATAATCAGATCTTACTTTGCTACAACTATCAATAAGTTGTGATTTCATTATTTCCTTCAGTTTTGTTGTGAAATCCCTTTGGCCAAGGATTTAATTAATTATAAATGTTATTCAGCTCAGAACAGAACAAAGTGGAGATAGGAGGCTACATAAAGTCACTTACACCAGATACTGTCACACACAATAAGCTGATAGCTACTGTAACAAAGATCAGACAACATCTTCAACTCAATTACAAATTTCAAATCAGCAGTTCTAAATTGAAGGTTGGAGACAAAACAAATTATTGAACCATTTCATAAACAACTGGGGCTGGTAAGCTCTGTCTCAATTAAAAGCAAGAACTTCTTACATATCAATTTTTGCATTGATTTATCGACTTCTTGTAGCTACTTTGTAATTGATGTTTCATGATGTCCATTATGTGTTCAGGAACTAGAAGCTAAATGTGGAGCAATCAGCAAAAGCCTTGAAATTGACGGTGATGAGGGATCGTCAGCAGATGAGAGACAACAACAACAACAACAACAGGGGGAAAGAATTTCGAAACGTCGTAAAACTCTTGAAGAAATGGAAACTGAACTATTATCTTGAAGTCTGTCTTACTTTCTAGGAATAATCCTGTGTTATTTATAAAATGTTAAAGAACGAATCAACTACAACGAAACTTCATACCTAGAACCAGTTTGATCCCAAAATATCGGAAATTGTTGGGCGTTAATAAGTTTTAAAATTACATAATGATTTTGAGCGTCTACTGCAACAGATGGTATAGCCCAACCATTCTGGTTCTAATTTGGTCCTGGTTTAGCAAAACTGGTCCAGAATTAGTGTTTTTGCTACATAGTTTCTTCGTCAGATTTGACCTTTTAAAACCTTTTTACCTTAATTTATTCTATATTTGTTATCGATTGTAATTAGAGGATGCCATTTCGAATTAACGCAAAGTTTTTGTTTTAGTCAGCTTTTTGTTGTCAAGGTAAACTGCAAAGTTTCCAAGATATTGTACATTATATGGATTATGACAAGTTTTTTAATAACATTTTCTTAATGTTAAAATTAGATATCAAGCATCATGTTAACATCATGTTAACTGAATGTTTTACATCCTATGGACGCAGATCTTGACCAAGCTCTAAAAAGGGTCACCGATGAACTCCATGATCTTTATATACCAACTGGAGTGGGTACTGTTGAGAAACCAGTCACTCCCTCCCAGATACTATCATTTTACCGGAAATATGTTCAGAAGAACATTCCTGTTAAGATAACAGGTAATTTACTCAAATACCATAATTAATAAACATTCGCATTCCACGCTCGACAATTAATAAATATTGCTTTCAGTAATCTAGAAGTCTTCAATTTAACTGGCAAACTATCAGTTGCAATACATGCTGGAATTAACTGCACATAACATTGAATTTCATTAGGTTGTACTGATGACTGGCCGGCAGTAACAAAATGGACAGATGAATATCTCTCGTCTAAACTAGAAGATACAGAGGTTACAGTCGCTATTACTCCTAATGGGCTAGCTGACGCTATCTTTGATGGACAGTTCACCTTACCCTTCGAGAAGTCAGTAACTTAGTTATTCAATGACTTGTATCTCAATATTTATATCAGTTCATATTATGATTCTTAAACTTAAAAGTACTTAGTACAGCCCGGTGTATTATAAGGATTAAGAGTGGAATTGTAGTGTTATTAGTTCAAACTACAAAGTTTATTTAAATTCTACAATTTAATTTCAGAAAAGTAAAGTTCAGTGAGTTAGTTACAGAGTTAAACAATCCTGCAGAGGACCGTGTCCTTTACTTGCAACAACAGAACAATAGTTTCAATACTGAGTTCCCCAAACTAATGGACGATATAGAGCCTGCTCCTGAGTGGAGTTCCCAGGTATTTGGTAAGTTCCAATTGCATAAAACTTTAAGTGCAATGCAGTTAACAATCACTGCTGATTTAATACCATCAATATACGATTGTTTTATCAGATATTTAGCCTTTATCGAAATTATACACATCTTATACTGAAATTTATTTTCAGGAACTGATCTTGATGCAGTAAACTTCTGGATGGGCGATGGTAGAGCAATAACATCTTGTAAGTAATTGTGTACATTAATAAATGATGATTAATTAATGTTTGGAATGTTTGTTATGGCTGAGAAAATTAACTGACGATAAATTAAGTGTGGTTAGCTGTGTCAACTTTCAATAAAGCAATAACTGACAAAAGTAGGTAGTAACGTGGGTAAATTGCATACCTAAATTTTATAACATACCTTAATACTGGTATATGGTGATTGGTGGTAGCGCAAGTTTGTAATGAGCCGTAAAAGATTGATTGCCGCATCAATTATATGGGTTTAATTTATATGGTTTTAATATGGTTCTTAACTTTGTCAGGTGAGACAAGCGTTTAAAAACTGACAAAATTAAGAACTTGTTGTTACCCTCAACTATACACCTTTACATTACATCTTCTAACAGTTTTCTGTACTAACACTCCTTCCTCACAGTACATAAAGACCCCTATGAGAATGTGTACAGTGTAATCAGAGGCAGTAAAACCTTTACACTCTACCCACCCTGCGATAGACTCAATCTCAGATACAGATATTATCCCTTATCTAGATACGGCGAGGGCGGTGATCTTATCCCTGAGGTACAGTGAACTGTATAATTTCCAATCAAGCATGAAATATATTTTCACCTTAGGCTTTATTCCAATTCAATAGAATTAGAATCATAGCATACAATATTACACTTATCTGTTAATTTATCTTCATGCTCTACTCTCTAGCTGATTGGCATAATGCTAAGTAATAACGTGATTTACAATGGTCAGTGTTTTGTTATGCGAAACTCTCCGCTTGTCATGAACCTCAATATTCTTCCAAACCTCTTTAATAATCCCATATTTAAATTGATTGCACCCTTATCTTATCAGGATGGAAGTGTACCCTGGATTGATATAGACCAGAGAGACCCACTGTGCGGTGATAACAGTAATCTACACCCTGTGGTGGTGACGGTGCGTGCTGGAGAGACGTTATATCTACCCTCCTACTGGTTCCATCATGTTACACAGACGCATTCTACTATCGGTAATTATTATTAATTATTAAGTTTTCACATTTGTGCAGCGTGCACTACCCAGTTCACATTTTCGTACTAATTATATATTGTGAGTAATTAATAAAATCAAGAGGTTATTTGGTGGTTTTAACACTAAACAACTTGTTGAGTAGAATTGAAAAGAATTTTAGGCATCTAACTCCTTAACTCGGCCAGCTGGGATAATAATAGATGACATCAAATAATTTTCAGCTATAAACTATTGGTACGACATTGACTATGGTCCAGCTTACGGTTTATTCAAAATGTACGACGAACTGGCTAGACTGAAAGAGTGAAGTTGAAACAGTTTTAAATTATTTAATTTATTTTTACAGGCTCACAGTTTATATTATGAAGCATTAAGATTAAAATGATTGTAAAGTTCTGTCAACCCATGTCGTTTAACTGCGCAAAAGAATGGGAGATCACCATCACCTGATCGTTGTTAAGCCAATTATAATCAATATTTCAACAGCTTAACTTAGATCGAAGTTTTCAAGTTTAATTTAATTCACAGAAAACTTATATTATACGCCGTATAACTATCAACCATTTATTTTGTAGCAGAAATAATATGTAAATATGGGGAATTGTATGTGCTTGTATGTGCCAGACGATGATGAGGAATGCCAACCTGTAAACCAACCATCTCAGGTAAAACATAATCTCATTCAGTTTATTTTTCAGAATGATAGTCTTCAAATAGTCTTGAGTGTGTCGGTAGAATTAGATTGTACTGTACCGTTTAGATTATTATATAATAGAAGTGTAGATAACATAATATTTGGCATTTCCATCATGAGATAACACAGTTAAATAATGCCAGGAGGACCGGAGAAGGCAGATGGCGGAGGCAGCAGAGAAACGAAATGAGGGCCAGCAGGCACGTGGGGTGAAGGATCCAGGAAGTATTAAGAGAATGGAAGAGAAGAGGGATGAGTTAGAACGGAGACAAGCAGAGAATGTGGGCACCACCAACGAACCTACTCTCAGGGTTAGTTATTCTTCTGACTTTGTCTGGTTCTGACTTTGTCTGTTTCTGACTTTGTCTGTTTCTGACTTTGTCTGTTTCTGACTTTGTCTGTTTCTGACTTTGTCTGTTTCTGACTTTGTCTGTTTCTGACTTTGTCTGTTTCTGACTTTGTCTGTTTCTGACTTTGTCTGTTTCTGACTTTGTCTGTTTCTGACTTTGTCTGTTTCTGACTTTGTCTGTTTCTGACTTTGTCTGTTTCTGACTTTGTCTGTTTCTGACTTTGTCTGTTTCTGACTTTGTCTGTTTCTGACTTTGTCTGTTTCTGACTTTGTCTGTTTCTGACTTTGTCTGTTTTGTAATGCGTGCTGCTGTAGTGTTTTCTCATGCTGTTACGTAACGTGTTACGTGATCGAAACATTACTGAATTTTAAAATACGTGCCGTCTAGCTAGTAGTTAGTACAAAGAATCCATCTTGTAACGCGTTACGTAACGCGTTACGTACCGTCTAGCTGGGGTTTTAGAGGTGGATGGTGAAATGTAGCTGATCTGTTATTTTAAGCGAGATGTTATTATGTTGTTTTCTCTAACATTTTCTTTGCAGTGGTGAGATGTGCTACACATGTGGGAAAACAAGATAACTCTACTGGCCCTAAACCAAGTACTATGTCTATTGTTCTTCCCGGTATTTTCTGGTTTTTTGTGTTTTGTTTTGTTTTTTTCAGCAGGTCAAGGCTAGATTTAAATAATGATGTCAAACAAAAATGCGGTGATTTTTGCACCTGAATTAAACTATTGTCAGTTTATTTCATGCTGGCTGTTGTTAGAAACTATAAAGACCTTGTTTGAGTTGTCTGTAAATACTTAAATAAATGGGTTTGATGTCAATATTTCAGGGTTTGTAAGCTTTTCTAAATTATTTTGTTGTGATTCAGATTTTCGATATTAATTCTTTATGATAACTTAACTAAATGGTCTATCAGAGTGGTTTCATAGAAGTTTTTTGTGTGTCTTGATGAGATTATGGCTTATTTATAGCTTACATCAATAAATATTATTATAATTGAACTGTACATAGATTGAAAATACTAGAAGTTTGAACACTGTTGTAATAATTGCTTACTTGTTTTGGAAAATGTGTGGCCTATTAGGTATTGAACTTCGTGTGTAGAATAAACCCATCTTCTTAGATTTAATAATGGCTACCGGACAAAACGAGTAGTACTGTAAATTTTTAAACCAGTAAAACTCGATAGTTTATAACCAACGAATTTCTATTTTAACAACCATTGTTTATTTTTTATCATGCCTTATAATATAAAACAGTAGTTTATAAAACATTTTATAAATACTAATCTAAATTGTCTAGATATTATATTCTTAGCGTTCGAGACCACTGTTATGATAATGGTAATCAATACTACTTTAATATTTATTTCCATTCTCAACGAAAACTTAAGCTTGTTATTATACTATTAACCATTCTTAAATAATCCTGTTTCTCGTCAAAGTAATTAGTCTCAGAATCTTACGATTACTCGAATACATGCCAAGTAATGACTTACGGTCCTGGAAGTCTGAATGTCTAGTCTAAAAGCTCATGATCCCCAGATTTTGTAACTCCGTGTCGATTGTTCCTCATGAAAATCAAGTCCAGCACAAAGACCTACTAAACTAACTATTACCGCATACACTATACAATGTCATATTGAGTGTCTGTAACAAGCATTTCCTGGACTTTCTATCTTGGCTTGGCTTCCCTTTTGTGCTCGCTTCTGTTGTGTTTTTAGTTCTTCGCTTCGCACAATTGAAGAGAAACAACAATTGCTCAGCTGCTGAATCGTAGATCTGTAAAGAATCCTGAAGCATTTGCTCGACCGGTTTCAATACTTGTAAACAGCCGCAGAACAAGCGATCAGATGGTCTTTGACAGTTAATGCTTTAATGGGGAACCTTTTCATATGCTGCTATACTAGGCGTGAAAACCTCAAGACACAATTCGATACAGACGACTTCACACAATCTGATGTGAGTGTTTACAATTTATACCTAACATTCACAAATAAATATAAATAATGAATATGCATTTTAAGAGGTTTTCGTTATATTAGGTGATAAAGAAATTAAATATTTTAACCTGTTTAAAATATCCAGGGTCCGACTGCAAAGTTCTTACCGTACCTTGAGAGGAAGCCAGAGAAAGAATCAGTCTCACCAACCACAGTCTCACCAACCACTGTCATTCCTAAAACTCCTTCTGTAACATCATCGGATGTCTCAACGAGTATTCTCAACAGTCAGCCTACACCAGACAAACCTGCTAATAAATCTACTCTCAAAGTTAAAGATGGTCATCTCATGACAAGAGCTTTTAGTGCTCCTGTTCTACACGATGTTCCAGACATTGTCGTTACCGATCACAAAGGATCGATGACTGAAAAGTTAAAACGGCGTTTCGGAGATCCTAGTGGCGAAGGAAACGCTTTATCGACTGTGGACGGAGACGAGCCCAGTGTCTCTACAGACTCGTTCCTCATGCCCAGCTCTATTTGCGACGAATCTAAAACCGATAGAACTCCTTCTGTCTCTCCTACACTGTCACGCAAGTCCAGCTATTCAACCAAATCCAGACATAAATCAGGGAAAGAAGTTTTAAACGCTTTCGCAACAGTCAGTATTGCCTCGACTATGTTAGACTCCAGACAGACGAATCAAGATAATAGAAACTTTGAGAAAGATGTCAAGAGTTCCAAGAGGACAAATTCCCTTCTCAAATATCATCGTGGGAACGAAATAAAATCTCGTATGGAAAGGGACAGAAGGATGTCCTATGATAGAAGGCAAGAAAATAAGGCGCTTAAATATGGACAGACTAGCTCGACTAAAAAGATGGTGAGAAAGAAAAGCAGATCACTCATAAAATAATTTTATGAGTGTATTGCCTGCAATAGATAAAGTGAAATCCAAGAATAAATAATGGCATATTAATCTTAGCAACTCTTGAATCAGATACATACTGGTACATTATACAAGTGAGCATTTCCTGATTGTTTATGATTAGGCACTTAAAAGCATGTTAAGTCTCTAGCTATCATAATAAGGAGAATCTATAAGCAATTTTATTCTATGGTACCGTTATTTCTGTCTTTTAGTTTGATTTGAACCATGCGTTTTACTTTTTCTAAAAATTTTAACTGTCGTTTATTGAAAAGTTGATCAAAAGTAGATGGGAAATTTATGCATTTGCTGCTACAAGAGGCTTGATGCTTTGAAAACGGATTCAGTAAGTGTATGCACCTTCAGTCTTTACCACTTTCATGTCAATGTAAAATTGTGTTTACTATATCCAATTATCCATCTACATTCTACACCTTCATATAGTGATATTGTGATCTCCAGGAGAACAGCACACTAGAACCCCCTCCAAGAAGCAGATCGTCGACTAAAGAACCTACAAATCCTGTACAAAACATTGGATCAGCTAATCGTACTTTACCTTCCTTTGATAATACGACCTATCTGAAACCACAGAGATCTAATGTTCACAACATTACGCCAACACAAGTTTCCCCCAACTTGTCTATTAGAACAGAACCTTCCAGAGCTAACAGCATTTCTTCCAGAACTTCAAGGAGGACACTTTCTTTATTTGATGTCTTGATTCTGTCTAAAGTAGTTGATAGTATTGGACATGTTATGAGTCCAAGAAACAGCAGTAGTACGAGTAGTTCCTCTTCGTAAATTTACGGTGTTATGATGAATTTCTGGAGCTCTTGACAAGAAATAATAGATTATTCCAAATATTGCATATTATTGCAAGTCAACGTAAATTTCTTACAGAATTCAGCTCAATGTAAAACCACTTTTCGTTATTAACCATGGATATGTTAAAAAATTGGTTTAAAGACATACTTATTCAATTTGTCACAATTATATTTGGAGAAGCTCAATTCTTACGACATGTTTACATATTTACTAAACTAGAGTATGCTGTATAATGGTGAAATTGCGAAATTAGGTTTGGCTAAAATGAGGCCTATAAAGTTATGAACGGCCCCTATACGGCCACGCCCCACGGTACAGCCACAGTACGGCCACAGTACGGCCACAGGACGGCCACGATACGGTACTTTGTTTTTCTCAGTCTTGTATTTTATTTGAATCTTAATATTGGTTTCTTTTTATATAGCTCTTTTCACACTACTGATTGTTGTAACATACTAATTTTTGGTTGACATTTTAGGTGCACACACTGATGAATGTCACAAACACAATTAAAAAGATACTCAACTTTTTGAACCTCTCACCTGCCTTATTAATCTGATTAAACAAAATTTGAAGATTTATTGAACGATTTGTAACTAATCATTGAACTAATTTTCACAGGTATATTATATTAAAAATGGCCCCCAAAGTTTGTGTACCAGCAGATTTTGGAAAACATCACATTGGAGCACCAAGTCATGGTAACCTTACCTTTAACATGAAAGAGGGGTCTCCAATCAAAGCAAACTCCATTATATTGTCCCTGAACAGCCCTGTGATTGATAACCTTACCACTGATCTTCATTTGACGTCAGTTGATGTCGAGGACTTTAGCAGGGAGGCGGTTGACTGTTTTATCGAGGCTTCTTACACTGGGGAAGTGGAGGCCATAAACCTTGATAACTTCAGGGATGTGAACAAGATGAGCCATGTGTTTGAAATCTTCTGGTTAAGTGCCAGATGTGAGAAGTACTTTGTGTCCTATCTGGATAAACTAGACAGTGAGAGTAGCTATCCTGATATCTTATTTGCTGTCGAGGAGGCTGTTTATTTGATGTCTGCTCTGAAGAAAAGAGATTTTTTAGACTTAGTAGTAAAGAAAATGAGTTCTATTTCCTCCGTTAAACGAAATGCTTTTGTTGAAAAGTTCCTATCTGACTTTGGTTCATTGACAAAAGTTCACATTGACGTGTCTATAGCAATTGTCAGATCTGATGTTCATATTTTGGTGAATATGCTTACTGCACATCTGGAGAAACAGGGTTTGGGCAGTCTGGATGATAATAGTCGGTACATTCTTCAAAATGTTAATCTGAGTATTTGCTATTTAAACAGGAACGATGTACATGCTAAACTCTTCTCTACTTTAGAAAAGTTCGAAAACATTTGCAAAGAAGACTTCCGACTTTGTCTCCACTTGCTTAAAGAAAGCACAAGCAAACGTCTCAACTCTGCAACTCATATTGAATTATTATCTCTTCAAGAATATTGGAATACCAGTTTTAGTGCTTTCTTTGAGACGATGGCATCAAGCAAAAGTGTAACAAATCTGTATATATTTTTTGATGGACTTTACACTAAAATACGGCAAGCCCAATTTGAGATTGCATCATCAATTATTGTTGATAAAATTATCGCAGTAAAAGAGCGTCGTGGATGGAGTAATATGGCCTATGATTATGTGGACAAGATATATCAATTTTCAGTAAATTATAAGAAACTGGCAGAGCTTGTTAAGGAAAGTGACAAACTTGTCTCAAAAACAGATGGACTGGATGTAAGCACAGGTTCCATCATATTATATGAGTATACCGGTGCAGAATTTGTCCAAAATATATTCCGAAAAGACGGAGACTTAGGATTCCGAGTGACCAGCCCCGAATTAGCTGAGTTAAAATGTTTGCTATCTACAAACGCAATGCAAGGTGATCATCCCGAAACATTCTGTATGCAATGGAATGTGTTTGAGTCTCTCGGTGATCCTTCAAATGTACCCAAACTTCATTTTGCTTTCGAAAGATACTTCCAATATCATAACGGATTCAAAACACTTCCAATATCATGGTGTGGTAAGCCATCGTGTGGTATGACAAGGAAATTCTGGAACTGGGGATACATTAGATTTCATTCGAATCACGATCTAAACGAGGATGATGCATTAGTTGGAAGTGGCGGGCTAAGTACGAGATATACTGCTTGTGTAATTCCTGATTCTACCAGATGTAGCTTAGGCTTGTTGCATATATTATTAAGTGAAATGATGATTGTTTAATGTTCATAAAGTGGTAATATGTCAGAATGTTTGGTTGCAAAGAATTCAATAACATATCGTGATAATATGATAATTAAAAAAATCATTGCCTAAATTTTGATTTTCCCCCAGATATAGCGTTGATAAAATAACCCTCACAACGTTAATACTCCAGCACAAACTTCCTCCAGCCTCTCCTCTGTATCTCCAACTTGTCTATTAGAACAGAACCTTCCAGAGCTCACAGTATTTCTTCCAGAACTTCAAGGAGGGCAGTTTCTCTATCTGATGTCTTGATTCTATCTAAAGTAGTTGATAGTATTGGACATGTTATGAGTCCAAGAAACAGCAGTAATACGAGTAGTTCCTCCTCGTAAAGTTGCGGTGTTATGATGAATTCTAGAGCTCTTTTATAGACAAGATACAAGATACGAGATTATTTTGAATATTGCTAATTTATTTTACATTTCTTTCAGAATTTAGCTCACTGTCCGCCATTATTAAGTTTTTAAGGTGAGGAAATGGACAATGCAGTTGCAAAGTGAATCGGTTTTTAATAATTGAATCAATTCTATGCTCGAAGTTTATATTTTTTCCCGATCCATGACTCAAAGTGCCGAAGGCACAAAAGAGTCAAGGACAAGGGTTAGCGATTGAGGTTTTTTTATATATGGTAGCTTTGCGACCGTGCCTGCGAGTGTGCGACCGTACCTGCCCTCGCGCACTGTTATCGCCCACGTGACTACCTGCGCAAAGTTATTTTGCGCACAAATCTGAATTAAATAATTGTTGGCGCGCGGCGCTGAAGTCTGAACTGACCAAGTACATTATTAATTTCACATTGTACATATCCCACTAGGCACTAATTGATAGCATACTATTATTATTTTGAGTTACTATTACTATTTTGCACAGATCCGTGTCGGGTGTCAGGTTGCATAAACAATAAGCATATGGTTACATAGAAATTATATACACGATTTTCAAATTCAATATGGAATTATATTAACTTGGTGGCGCTCGGCCTGTCACTCCGCTATATCTGCATGCTTATAAACAGTTAAAACTGGGATCTCCAGGTTGTATGGAATATGATAAAATACGCCATCACGGATCGGGAAATTGAGCGGCCATCCACAAAAAAAGCGGCCGCATTTCTTGTTTAATGATTTACTGTGTCTGATTGTTGTAACATTTTTCGGTTGAAATTTAAGGTGCACACCATGATGAAAGTCTAAAAAAACATAACTAAAGAATATATAATCAACTTTCTGATCCTCTATCTGGCCTTAATTACGTATCTGATTAAACGAAGTTTGAAGATCGATCGAACGATTTGTAACTAATCAGTAATCATTGACCTAATTTTCACAGGTGATATTAAAAATGGCCCCCAAAGTTTGTGTACCAGCAGATTTCGGAAAACATCACATTGGAGCGCCAAGTCACGGTAACCTTACCTTTAACATGAAAGAGGGGTCTCCAATCAAAGCAAACTCCATCATATTGTCCTTGAACAGTCCTGTGATTGACAACCTTACCACTGACCTTCATTTGACATCACTTGACGTCGAGGACTTTAGCAGGGAGGCGGTTGACTGTTTTATCGAGGCTTCTTACACTGGAGAGGTGGAGGCAATGAACCTGGACAACTTCAGAGATGTGAACAAGATGAGCCATGTGTTTGAAATCTCCTGGCTGAGTGCCAGATGTGAGAAGTACTTCGTGTCCTATCTGGATAAACTAGACAGTGAGAGTAGCTATCCTGATATCTTATTTGCTGTCGAGGAAGCTGTTTATATGATGTCTGCTCTGAAGAAGCGATATTCTCTGGACTTAGTTATAACCAAAATGAGAGCTATTTCTTCCGTTAAACGAAATAATTTCGTTGAACAGTTCCTATCTGATTTGGGATCATTGACAAAAGTTCACATTAACACGTCTGTAGCAATTGTAAAATCTGATGTTCATATTTTGGTGAATATGCTTATTGCACATCTTGAGAAACAAGGTTTGGACAGGCTGGATGATAACAGTAGATACATTCTTAAGAATGTTAATCTGAGTATTTGCTATTTGAACAGAAACGATGTACATGCTAAACTCTTCTCTACTTTAAAAAAGTTGGAAGACATTAGCAAAGAAGACTGTAAGCTTTACATCCACTTGCTTGAGGATAGCACAAGTAAACGGTTCAACTCTGTTATTCCAGTTCAATTGTTCTCTCTCCAAGAACATTGGAATTGTAGTTTCGTTGCTTCATTCGAGAAGATGGCATCATGCAAAAGTATCACAAATCTTTACATGTTTTTTGATGGACTTTACACTAAGTTACGACACTTTGGCCGCCATGATATTAAGATTTCTTCTTGGATTGTCAAAAAAATTATTGCAGTAAAGGAGCGTCGTGGATGGAGCAACATGTACTATGATTATGTTGATATTGTCAAGTCCTCATTAAATGCTAGTAAACTGGCAGAACTTGTTCAAAACAGTGAACAACTTGTCACAAAGACAGACAAACCGAATGTAAGCTTTATTATATGTGAACTCAGTGGTACAGAGTTTGTCCAAAATATGTTCCTGAAAGATGGAGACTTCAGATTCCGAGTGTCTGATCCTGATTTAGCTGAGCATAAATTTATGCTATCAATAAATTCAATGGAAAAGAATGATCCCGATACATTTTGTATGAAATGGAATAGTTTGGAGGTTATTGACGATCGCTCAATTGTACCCAAACTTCATTTTGCCCTTGAGAGACATGATGAAAATAAACAATTTAAGACACTTCCAATATCATGGTGTGGTAAGCCATCGTGTGATATGTCAAAGAAATTGTGGAACTGGGGATACATTACATTTCATACAAATTACAAATTAAAAGAGGATAACGCTCTAGTCGGAAGTGGCGGGCTGAATTCGAGATACCTAAGGAATGTTGTCGATGATGATACCAGATGCAGACTTGTGGCATATGTTATTAAGTGATGTAATATTCAGATAGGAACATTAATTATGAGTCACATTGTTGTGATGTCAACTTTTGGTGCAATAAACGGTGAATTTTTACAAACATATAATCTTAGATTTTTAATTAAGTCACATCTCACAACCATAATCTTGGTACATAAATTTTCATTTTTAAAAGTGGGTATTTATGTAATTTTCGTTATATTCCAATGGTTACATTTTATCGAAAAATCAACTATATTGTAACTTATTAATTTTCATTCATAAATTTGTATTGTATAATCATAATTTATTGCTTTAAACTATTTAATTATCCCATGGTGTAATTGCTGTGTAAATTTGATTTTAATTCTAATCCTCATTTTAATAATAATATCTAGCCCAAAAACCAGTGATTTGTTATGAATTTAGTTTTGATCGAAATCGTTGGATAGGGAACAGTTTGCCTTAGCCTTGATACCATATTACTGAAGTATAAGACTTCAAAATGAAGATTAGTTTAATCTCATCGTTGCCTGATATCACAATATCTATTATTGGAATAATAGCCCATTCAAAAAGAGATTTGAATCTTTGGAAGGATAAAACATACATTATACATAGAATCAGAAAAAATATTATTAATTTTTGTGAATTTTGATAGATCTCATGTCAAAATATAAAGTTTATCATTAGGAATGTATCAAATATCAATTCACTTAATTTGCATTTCCGACTGACAGTTTTGTCCGAATATTTATGCTTCAGTCGGACAATCCATATTCAGACTTGTAAGTCCATCGCCTGGTGAAGGACCGTAAGCTCCAAAACGGTTGTATTTTAGCCAGCACTGAGAATCAGCAACTCTGTAAGTGATAGAGACACACTCCTCGGCGTCTCTACAGAAGGTCTCGCACTGGTCGAAGTTGAGAGCTCTTCTCCCTCCAATATCAGCTCCCCAGTAATCCGTGTTTTCCTCGATACAAGTTTGGTCAAACTTTTTGTCTCCGCAGTCCATGTTGAGACTGACTAGTCCACCTTTTACATAAGGTCCTCTGAGTCCCCCTCTTTTGTTCTTCAGCCAACAAGAGAAGTCAGACTCCCTGAAATTAGCATATGAAATAGAGAAGTTTATGGTTTTCCCTAAAAACCATGATTTGGGATAAAAGTGGTAAGAAACTCTTTAATTCAAGTTGATCAAAGTTTCAAATTAAAACTAATATGTTGTATGATAACCAGTGTCAAAGTAGACCCACGAAAAATCGAAATGGATTTTGCTTAGGTTTATATCACTGGACAAAATTAAAAGATAAAATCAACAAACCTATAAGTAAGAGAAGCGCAGCCAAGAGACTTTTTACACCATTCTTCACAACTTTCCACACTCTCAGTAGTCTGGAACCCAATATCAGCCCCCCAGAAATCTATATCAAGTCTTTCACATCCTTTTTCAAAGCTAAGTTGTGCTGCACAGTCCATATTCAAACTTGTGAGGCCGTCATTTTGTATAGGACCGTAAGCTCCAAATCGGTTGTATTTAAGCCAGCACTGAGAATCAGCGGCTCTGTAAGTGATAGAGACACACTCCTCGGCGTCTCTACAGAAGGTCTCGCACTGGTCGAAGTTGAGAGCTCTTCTCCCTCCAATATCAGCTCCCCAGTAATCCGTGTTTTCCTCGATACAAGTCTGATCAGATTTTGTGTCCCCGCAATCCATGTTGAGACTGACTAGTCCACCTTTTACATAAGGTCCTCTGAGTCCACCTCTTTTGTTCTTTAGCCAGCAGAATCTGTTTGACGATCTGAAATTCAGTTCATTAACTCTATAAACAATAAGTCCTGAAACCAAATAAATGAGATAGGATCTTTAATTTTATCAAATTTTAAGCCTATATGAAAGAAATTAAGTTCACGGGTTTCCTGCAATAAGAAAAACATACCTGTATGTCAATGAAACACACCCATCAGTATCTTTGCACAACTTTTCGCATTCCTCCAAATTGTCAGTTTTCTTATAACGGATGTCAGTCCCCCAAAAATCGACATCAATCCTTTTACAGCCACCATCAGATTTAGCAGGTTCTGTGCAGTTCATATTCAGACTTGTAAGTCCATCGCCTGGCGAAGGACCGTAAGCTCCAAAGCGGTTGTATTTTAGCCAGCACTGAGAATCAGCAGCTCTATAAGTGATAGAGACACACTCCTCGGCGTCTCTACAGAAGGTCTCACACTGGTCGAAGTTGAGAGCTCTTCTCCCTCCAATATCAGCTCCCCAGTAATCCGTGTTTTCCTCGATACAAGACTGGTCAAACTTTTTGTCTCCGCAATCCATGTTCATACTGACTAGTCCACCTTTTACATAAGGTCCTCTGAGTCCACCTCTTTTGTTCTTCAGCCAACAGGAGTCGCTAGACGCCCTGAATAAACAATATTGTTCTTAGAACATATCTTATATCTTAACATGTGACTGACTGACTGACTGACTGACTGACTGACTGACTGACTGACTGACTGACTGGCTGACTGACTGACTGACTGACTGACTGACTGACTGACTGACTGACTGACTGACTGACTGACTGACTGACTGACTGACTGACTGACTGACTGACTGACTGACTGACTGACTGACTGACTGACTGACTGACTGACTGACTGACTGACTGACTGACTGACTGACTGACTGACTGACTGACCTGAAAGTCAGAGAGGCACATGTAGCCATCTCTCTGCATATTTTTTCACATTTCTCCAAACTTCCAGCAGTATTGAATCCAATATCGGCCCCCCAAAAATCAACACTATCGCGAGAGCATTGTTGAGGAGTTGGTACCCCTTCTAATAGAGCAAGCAAAAATCCAAAGAGAACGACCACCAACATCTTTTAAAAGCAATGTACGATAAATGAGTGAATATGGAGACGTGGCTTCCTTATTATCACAAATTAACCTATCATTATAACAAAATACTGATAAGGACGTTGCTCACTTGCTCTGCAATATTTGTCCCTTATCAATGCAATCGAGAAATTGGCAAGGCCTTTACCCGGTCGTAGACCACCTTCAGTTTTCATTTAGAATTTCCACTTAATTTTCCCTGCTGATAACTTGAAAAATATAGCATCATACTGGCTGCAGAGAAACAGAATTTGAGTATTTCACTTAAATACGGTATGCTAAGCTTACTGATAATGAATTCGATACTCAGGATTAAGATAAACTCTAATTTCTCTCGTCGTATGTGACTTTTCTACAAACCGTTGCACTTCATTCTTCATCAGCTGTACCAAGTTTTGCTCACTGATATGCAAATGAAAGCTGAGATCACTCGTATCATAATATGATTTATGACCCTAGAACCATAAAATAAGCTTTAGAGTGCCGCCATTATTGAACGGCATTTTCTCCAGGTGCTTTTAATGATATAAGACAAATATTTACCCCGTCGATAAGAGGTCTTATATAATTAAATCGATTCTGTAGAAAATTTGCTGTAGAATAATCTGTAGAATAATCTGTAGAAAATCTTTTCTAAAGTTTCGTTTGGTTCTAAATTTATCACCATTGATGTTATTGTAAAAATTCCAGATTGAAGGTGCTTTAATTACATTTGAATCAGTACGAGGTTTCACTGACTAACATCCTAATGTAGGAGATGAATCCAGCAAACAGGAGGGAAGGAGAGCGGCCTCCAGATGGTAGAGGAATTCCTCACTCTGGGAGACTGGACTACGCTGCAGCTACTCATCCTGTGGTTCCCTCCAATCATGGCTTCGTACAGTCCGTCCTTAACTCTCATGTCAGACCTCAGGAATTCCAGTGAGTGCGGTCTTGGATATCTGATATCATCGAACGTATCAGATCGTTGTTTTATTCTTATTTCGTTTACATTTTAAAACATTCCTGTCCATCCCTTGTTTGAGGCTGGAACCTCACTTACTTTGTTTCAGTGGTAATGCAGCAGGGCCTAGGCCAGCCAGACCCCAGACAGCTAACACTGCTGCTCCAAGACAGGAGGGACAGTACCAACGTCTTCGGGTGAGTCTCAATTCCTTGATATCTTTAGAGTCATGATAGTCTTTGTTACGACTAGAATATTCAGATTTGCAACACGTATAGCCAAACTGAAACTCCCTTAAATTGTTCATTTTGATAATAGGTTAAACTAAATTCGAGCAAATTACGTAGATGTGATGAGCATTTTCTCATTTTATTCACTATACGATATTGATATTATCGGTCCTTGGAAGGTTGATGATGCGCTCTGGTATTTGGACCAAGTCAAGGCCCAGTTTGGGGATCAGCCACACGTTTACAACAACTTCCTGGACATTATGAAGGAGTTCAAGTCTCAGAGGTTTGTCAATGTTCATAAGATAGTGTTATAGCTCGCTTCCATTTTAAAACTTTAATTAACTTTTCCCGCTGTAATGTTATATTAAAAAGTAAATCCCTTTTACCCCAGCATTGATACGCCAGGAGTAATAACACGAGTCTCCAACCTCTTCCGAGGAAGACCGGAACTGATATCGGGTTTCAATACTTTCCTACCTCCTGGATATAAGATCGAAGTGCAGCCAGCTACCGGTGCTGGTAGTAACAGTCACGCTTTTAATGTTACCCTCAATATTTCCTCAAATGGTGGTCCCAATGGACAACCAAACAGAGTGTCGGTAAGGAACTATTCTCATATACTTTTAATTTAAGTACCTATACCCTTTATTTCGAATTTCATTCGTGAAATAAAAATTATACTTTAGCATCTAGCGATTATCAACAGCAGACTTGGTTGACAGGAGGAAAATTAAGGCTTTTTAAAAACGATCTATTATTTTCAGACGTATCACATAATAAGTGACCGGCAGACAGTGCCCTCTACAACCCCCATCACACGCCCTGCGCCCCGACCTGAGCTCCAGCAGACCTCCACTACACCCCAGACTGTACAACAGTTGTCTGCTCCCGTACTGCCACAACCTCCTAAACCGCTACCTCCCCCTCCCAAACCTCAAGTGGGTTTAGTTCGGTGTATCTATCAATTCTATATTCTGAAATGTAATATATTTTAATTCTTGATTTTTTTCAGCTAACGCATATTATATAATAATTATTAATCATGACGTATCAAAACTTGGTTTAAGAACCATACAATTTAACTTTAAAATGTAAATCGATTAGTTCTATTTATGTTTTATCGTTGTAGGGTTCTGCAAACGGGCTTCCAGCCCAGCCTGAATTCAACCAAGCAATCAGTTACGTCAACAAGATAAAAACACGGTTCCAGACCGAACCTGAGGTGCTTAGAAACTGTTTTAACATAGGATTTAGGAATTGTTCATTCCAAATACGACTAAATACGATTGAATTTTTAACACTGTATCTTACTACCAGCAATGGAAGGAAAGATTATTTAGTTTTTGGGATTTATTTGATGGTTTACCACTTTAATAATTCATTCACAAAATTTTGTTTACGAATCAAAGCAACAGAAGATTCAGCTTGTTTTTTGACTAATTTACATTGCAAGTCCCGGACCCTAAGCACAAATTTACGTTTGATTAAATTTAGCAGAGTAAATTTTGGCTTTTTGGCAAAGAGATACTCTGACTTTATTTGCTCAACACATTACAGGTTTACAAGACGTTTATGGAGATTTTACACACGTTCCAGAAGGATCAGAAGACGGTGAAGGACACTACACAACATGGCCCAATGTGTGAAACTGAGGTTAGTGTTTACTGTACTGTGTACTGTGTGTACTGTGTGTACTGTGTGTACTGTGTGTACTGTGTGTACTGTGTGTACTGTGTGTACCGTGTAGTGTGTACTGTGTGTACTGTATTGGGCTAGTAGCATGTAACCGTATTGTTGTATTGTCTGTGGTATTTATACTGGATTTTATTCCTTAAAAGGTAATGTAAACCTCTCCCTTGATGGTTGACAAGGGATAAATAATATCTCCAAGTTATAAAGCTACTCCAAGTTCACTGCTACAATTGAGATATTATTTTAAGGAAATATTAACTTGAATATAAGGTCCTACAATCTGATTATCCACCAGGTGTTTGACAAAGTTAGAGTCCTGTTCAAGGACCAGCCTGATCTGCTCAAGGACTTCTCCCAGTTCCTCCCTGAAGCGCACGTGGTAGCTGCTCACCTCCAGCAGGAACACACTAAACAGATGAGCATACAGTCCACAAACGGTCCTGAAACCAAGCACAGTGCAGGACCTCCCCCTCTCAAGCGAGCTGCTCCTGGTCAGTTTGTTATTTTGAGCAGTCCAGATGATATGTCTAACAGTACAAGTAGCTATTCTTCAGCTTTATTCTGAAGTAAATTTGTTTTATAGCTTAAGTAAACTTTGTATTTTTGGAAAATGTGTTTTACAATTTTGTAACAGGTGCAGCGCCAGCCCAGACTTTGCCAAACGAAGCTGCAAAACAGCTACCACGACTTCACATCGGTAAGATAGAGAAGGAAGCCGAGGTTAAAGACGAGAAGATAGTGATTTATTCTGAGCAGGATTTCTTTGATAGAGTAAAGAAGGCTCTGAAGAGTCAGGAGGTGTACGAGAACTTTCTGAGGTAACTAGTTGATTTTATTTACTTCACACAATCCATAAAGTACTCAATATTCAATAAATGTGTGTTTGGAAAATATTTGGTGTTCGATTACAAAAAGCATAATTATCCGTCAAAACCAAAAGTGTTTCTGCAAGCTATCAATTCTAATAAATGTTTCCACGTTCATCAGATGCTTGGTGTTATACACAGAAGAAACTCTCAACGCTACAGACATAGTCCACATAGTGGTGCACTTTATCGGTAAATTTCCGGAGCTCTTCGCCTGGTTTAAGAACTATGTGGGTTACAAAGATGCAGTTCCCACTGATCAGGGTCGTAAAAACAGGGTAGGGGAGCTCGAGATCAACTACGCGTCGTGTAAGCGGTACGGTGCTTCGTACCGAGCACATCCTCCTAATTACATTCCTCCTAAATGTATGGGCAGAACTGAACTGTGCAAACAGGTAAATTAGTCGGTATCTTTACTTCCACTCATTTTAAAGTTCGCCCTCTACTCTTAATTACATTTGCAATCATTTACCGAATTGACAGAATGTTTTAATAACCGTAAGACCAGCAATCAGAGATCTTTTTAAATTATTAATTGATATCATTTACCCCAAAAACAGGTTCTGAACGACACCTGGAGATCCTACCCCTGCTGGTCTGAAGACAGCACCTTCTCAGGAGCTAAGAAGTCTACGTACGAGGAGTATATTAACAAGTGTGATGATGAGAGATTCGAGCTGGATGTGGTGATTGAAACCAATCTAGCGTGCATTAAACAGCTGGAGGCTGTTCAGAAGAAAATGGCAAAACTCACTCCTGATGGTAATTACTAACATAGTTCAGAGGCTCCACTGTCTGAACCAGCGTACTGCTACGTTTGACAATTAATTCCAATGAAATGTGTCTAATTTTGTGACATGATTACCAGACAACTAACAATATTTCTCCCTTTTCTCTCAGAAGTGGCCAGGTTTAGGCTCGATAACAAACTAGGAGGAACTTCTGAAGTTATTGGGAGGAAAGCGATAAAGCGGATATACGGAGACAAACACGGTGGTATTATAGACGGGCTGAAGAAATCGCCACAAGCTGTTATTCCTATTGTTCTCAAAAGGTAAGATTGATGTGTATTGTTTGCTGTTTGAACTATTTTGTGCAAAATAGGTTGACCATATCGTTTATTTACAAATTATGAAAGGTAATAAATTCTATAAATAACCCTTAAAAATAAATACTCTCACCAGGTTGAAGAGTAAAGACGAGGAGTGGTGTGAAGCAAGACGGCAGTTCAGTAAGATTTGGAACGAACAGTGTAAAAAGTACCACCTCAAATCACTGGACCATCAGAGTGTCACATTCAAGCAGACTGATATCAAGTCGATCAGACCTAAAAACCTTGTCACGGAGGTATACAGACTAAACACCGTTTGTTCTTGGCATATAATTGAAACATTCTGTTCTAATTGTAACGAATTGCTCGATATGAATAGCGGATATTAGGTTAGCTTACTATTTAGCCCTATATTTCAGATAGAGACGCTTTATGACGAGCGAATGGAACAAGTAACAGATCAAAGTAAAACGGTCACCGGCCCACATATCACCATCACCCACAAAGATCATCATATTCTAGAGGACGCTCGAGCACTGATCATACATCACCTGCGTAGACAAAGTCATCTACAAAACGAGGAGAAAGCGAAAGTGAAACTCTTTTTGAACGGATTCTTACAAGATTTCTTCTTTGCTCCTAGAGGTTTGTTTGGAAATGTTGTTCCAAGCACGATAGTTTGAAGTGTTTTGCCACCCTGGTCTCGCATTAAAAACTTTACTGAAAGTTTCGGGAAAGTTATTGTCCCTCTAAGAATTTTAGTAAAAATCTTTTAATTTGTATCATCAGGAGATGTTAGTGATGACGACCATGATACCGACGAGGATTCCTCAGAAGAGGATGACGAGACGAGGTCACGTGGGTCTCGGGCCTCCAACAAGGGGGGAACTCGCAGGTCCAGCAGAAAAGCAGACAGACCAGCTAAATCAGTTAAACTGACGCCGGGAGACAGTGATGCTGTGAGTTAATCTTGTTTTGTCCGGATTTTATGATATTTTTAAAACTCTGTGTGTGTAGTGAGATCATACATGTATATTTTGTAGGCTTACTGTCTCTCGTTCGTATAACTTGAGGTTAGACTTATTTCAAAGTGTACTGTGTAGGCTGTCCTGATAAAATAAGCTTTATTTCAGCCCGACGCCTACAACTTGTTTTTCACGAACGACCAATGGTACGCCTTTCTCAGACAGCATCAAGTAAGTTTATCAGTTGTTTCTGTATTAGCATTTCCTCTTCTAGAATAAACAATTTTACGCGAACTTATCTCGCTCACATAGTACCCCTATTAAAAAATGGTATTTTGTAACATCGAATTTGCCTTAGATTTTGTGCGAAAGATTGTTCCAAATCTACACATACAACACAGCTGTAGTGGAGCAGGAATTGAAAGACAGGAAGAACCGAAAAGAACCAACTGCTCAAGCCATCAAAATGCGGCAACCAAGTACGTTTTGAATTTGATATTGAAAACTCGGTATAGTAAGTTGTAGCAACGGAATACGAACTTCTAGGAACGCAGCCAAATGCGTGGTACCAAAAGTGACAGATATGATACTAAATACGGAGCGCGCGTTGCATCAAATTCAACGAAAGGAGTTCGCGCACGAGACTTTTTATTTTTCTGAAATAGAAATTTAAGCACATAATCAGATTATATCGTCTCAAAACATTGTACACCGGCGGCAAAAACGGCTGGGTATAGAAAGAATTGTTTCAACTGTGACTCTTTGCACTTTGAGCTGTGAATTTTACAGCTGTATACATAACTAAATGTATACAATACAGATGTATCTGTCTGATATCGTACAACACAAAATTGAATATCTATACAATCTTTACTATACAATCGCCATATTATATATGAACAATTGCGAGCCTATAGTGTGGTTGCTATAGTGTGGTTGCTCCACTTGATTGTAGGAAATATTTTGAATATCAACACACAGAAGGTCACGAAATTCAAACATTTAACTGTTTTATATCCGTAGATCCTATGCCAGTGGAGCACTACTACACACACTTTCTGTCCCTTGTTAAAGATCTGTTGGATTGTAATGTAGAGCCAGCTGTCTACGAGGATAAACTGCGTGAAATGTTTGGTGTTAATTCCTACATTGCCTTTACTCTCGACAAACTCATTACAAACATCGTCAGACAGGTGAGTGTCTAATCTAGTATATCCCACAATTCACCGCTAAATGTTTGCCACTTAATCATTTGTGATCTTTATTCTATTTAATGTTGGATGACAACTCTGACTCATATTCTTGATGAAAAACTAACAACGTATTTCCAGAGCCACACACTTGCAACAGACACCATGTGTAACCAGATAAAGAGCAGTTACTTGAAACAGAGAGCATTAGGAGGAGCTGGGGGCAGCCTTTCTACTCAGCTTACTCGGGCAACTGTGGAGAGCAACTACTTGAAGGACGCTGAACAACTCCTGTCTGAGCACAACCTCTACAAAATACATTTTGTAAGTTTTGAATGTAAACATGTGATTGTTCGAGAGAAGTTAAATACGATAATAACATACTAAAATAACTTGAATAAGAATAGATTAAGCACGATGATAACTTGATCATGTGATTCGTTAAGATTTAACAGCGCCGTAAACTCTTCCTATTTTTCAGTATAAACAAGGATCGAAGTTGACTATTGAGTTATTGGACGGGGAGCAGACAGATGAAACTGAAACTGAGGTTTGCAAACTTCTATTTTCATCTTGTGAAAATTAGTGCCTATTGCATTTCATTTTTCTGATGGTTTACCTTGCACCTTGTCAGATTTACATTCACTGTTTTAATGAGAGTTATTTTAGCAAGAAACGGCTCGAACGGAGGAACCTCTACAGATCGTTGCTAGTATTGAAAAAGGCGAATCCATGGACACATCCACTTCTTAGTGCACAACAGCAAGCACTTTGCCTACAACAACAAACTTTCTCAACCATCTGGCAGACTTGCCAACCCTAATCCAATGATGATTCTATGGGATGATTCAGTCCCTGATTATGCTGATTGTGGCTGAGCTCAGAACTTATTGTCCGTGCGCTAATCGAAACCTTGCCCTTGCTTCCCCTGCTGATAATGAATCAATGAATGCTGTTTGTCATTTCCGGTGCTTTTTGCTCATCCACTTTATAGTTGTTAACAGAGAGAACAGCTATATAATAGATAAAGAAACACTATGGAGCTTGCTTCTTTCGCTTGTGCATGTCACCACCGACTAACAATATTTTTGCTGGCTATGTTCCATAATGTTTCACACAGATATTTTAACATCTCAAGAATAAATATTGATCGTTGATGGATCACAACATACATCGTGAATCATATTCCTGGCTGAACTATTTTCAATATCGTGCCATTCATCGGTTTACAGGAGTTTGGTAATTTGACAATTCTAAATTTGTTGACACATATTGAAAAATGAAAATATTTCATATGCATTTAGCATTTTGGTTCAACGAAAACGATAAGCTTTATGCGTCCAAATGGTAGTAACAATTTTTCAAACTTCAGCTCGTTTGGGTAAATTCGTTAAATGTTTCCTCAAGCAGGCCAACACGCAAGGGGTCCTGGGTCAAGTACGAACATCGTGCTTGCCATGACTATTCTTAAAAATTGAAATTGTATTTTAATGTTGACAATTTTATTTTATCAAAATCTGGTCTTATCAATTGTTGTTTATCGATCGTTATATCATACATACTACTATTTCCTTTAAATTAAAAATAATCCTCCTCAGCTGCACTAATACAATTAGTAGCAAATAAATTTGTCTCTCAAGGTTACACCGCTGGCTAAGTTTGAACCAATGTTCGTGATGTGTTTTGGCTATTGTGTCAGCTACCAAGAACCTGATACAATTAGGTTTTTGTCAAAAGGGGTCGTTCACATATTACGTAATCAATATTTTAGTTGTAGGTTTACAACCTACCAGGACGCTCGCCGAGTTGGACAGATATTTTACGAGTATCACCCGTTAATATTTTAGCAATTTTTACCCCCCGTAATCAAGACCCAACCCCCCCCCTCCTGACAGCAATATTACGTAATCATCAAACTGTAATGGGGGGGGGGGGGGGGGGGGGGGGTGTCACGTCCGTCTATGTCCGCTTGTCTCATAAAATCCAAAAAGGACAGGACAGGACAGGACATAGGCGGACATAGACTTAATTGACGATGTCAATTCATCTCAGCTCGGCGCGGCACAGTAGCGCATGTCGCTGTGAGAAGCCTCATTGAGTGCGCGGCGCGGCACAGTAACGCATCGCGCTACAAGTACAAGACATAGACGGACATAGACGGACTTTGGCGGACATATACGGACTTTGGCGGACATTAGCGGACATTAATGGACACCTAAATTGCTACATAAAATGTTAAATTTTTGATGTTATATTCCCTATATTTCGTTAAATAGGTACTGTGCCTATACTACTGTGTACCCTGTGTAACTGTTTCAAAAATATGTTGACGACTATAACATATAAGTATAAATATAATGTTCATAAACATAAAGATTAGGCGGAATGCAGAATGACAGGCTGAGCGCCGCCCAGTAAATAAAGAACGTAATATTTGGCCCTCAGATTTAAAGGAAAATGCGCAATTTGTTGCGGAGAACTGCTTTTACTAAATTTAATCGCTTGCCCAAATTCTGGTGAAAAGGCCCTTATATGGTAATGAAATTGATCTCTGCAATCGGTGTATTTTGGACGCTGATTCCGAATCACCCCCCATGACGTATGGGTAAAATGCTTCCCTGGAGAGTTATGGCGGCAAAAAACCGTTTTGGTCACGTGACAGGCTAGTAAAACATGAATTCGATTGTTTAGGGCTCGGGTCAGGATTAGGGTTGTGGTAAGGGTTATGGATAGCTTCGGGTTTATGGTTAGGGTTGGGATTACTACTAGGGTTTATGTAAAACCGTTTTGTACGGCTGCCATAAAAACCAAAGTCACGTGAAATTTTTGGGCGAGCGAATTAGTAAGAGCCGAGGACAAAAGTCAAAAATCCGTAAAGTTAAAGCTGTGCACTATTATTAATATTAGGCCTGCAAAATAAGACTTTTTGGGATAACTCATAATCTAATTCTACATTGTAGGTTTATAATCTATCTTGTAGGTTTACAACCTACCAGGACGCGCGCCGAGTTGGACTCGTCGACGGTCTTATTTGAAGCAAATATTTTACGAGTAATATGTAATAGTATCACCTATTATCACCCGTTAAATTATAAAATGTCCCTAATTTTCCTCCTGTAAGTGTAAAAAAACCTCCTGGGGAGGTGACGTTATTTTTACAAGGCGAACATTTTGCAAAAAAACCGGAAGTCTCTATCTCTTTTACTTTCGAAGTTAGGCCCCAGCCAGTAAGGTTTCCTGGGATCTAGAGAACGTGTTAAATTAGTTGTCGAGTCATGTAGTTTATATGAGCCTGAGGAGCTACCCATTGCAGCAAAGTCTCGGGCGAAGAAAGCTAAAGTATGGTACACACAACCTTAACCGTCACTGTGCAGTGTGCACTGGCCTAATTTATAATTTTAATTGAATCCTTCGGCTTCCTGAATCCTGTAATTGGCTAGTTACACTTGTGTAACATTGTGGCTGTTGGAATGTCCGAAGTAAAATAAAGTTTGAGATAAAAAATTTAAAAAACTTCGTTTCGCATATTTTATTCAGTTCCTAATCCACATTTTATGATTTTCATTTATTGAGATTGCATTTGCAACTTGTAAAAATGGAGCTATGGAGTTTCTAGCTGCTAGCATGTTACCCAGAATCATGGGTATAACTATAAACAATTAAATGTTGGAAGGACGTGGCATCCTACAATCGAATTTTAAAACTTTTGTGACATATTCCTCGCATGAGTTGTAACAGTATGCCATTTGAAAAGCTACAAGTCTGAAACATGAAAAATGGCAATTAACCTCGTCTCAAATAACCTCAAACGTTATATAACACTAGCAGGAACCCGTATAACCCTAAAATGGTGTCAAGACTCAACTTCAAGAGACTAAAATAATTATTACCTATTTAATTCGCGTTTTTGACACCACTTGGGGGTCCAAATTTTGGGCTCTAAAACTCCTATTCCTTGGCCAATTTTTTATTTTTTCATGCTGATTTGAAAGCCATTAAAGCATTTGACCCAGTCAAAAAAGTTTCAGTTGTATATCTTTTACGGTTTTTGCGGAAAGTCACGTTAAAGTTGATGCCCTGGTGTCAGTAAAATGGTACGGATAAACACATCCATATAGGTTTACAAGGTTTACAAGGTTTACAAGGTTTACAAAAAATAGATCTATATTACAGTGAGATAATGTCAGATCAGCATAGCTAAAGGTCAAAGTCCGAAATCCAAATAGAAAATCCGTTACCATTAAGGTGTTTGATGAGTGTAAAGAAAAAGTGAAAATGAAGGGGCTGTGGAGGAGCCGCTTTATATATAGTAAGATAGTGAACGCACAATTACAAATTATTTGTCAAATCGGTTTCTGTTTTTGGATCAGCCAAATATGTAAATGTTAATGATAAACCAGCTATTGCTCCTGGTCCTGGTCCTGGTCCTGGTCCTGGTCCTGGTCCTGGTCCTGGTCCTGGTCCTGGTCCTGGTCCTGGTCCTGGTCCTGGTCCTGGTCCTGGTCCTGGTCCTGGTCCTGGTCCTGGTCCTGGTCCTGGTCCTGGTCCTGGTCCTGGTCCTGGTCCTGGTCCTGGTCCTGGTCCTGGTCCTGGTCCTGGTCCTGGTCCTGGTCCTGGTCCTGGTCCTGGTCCTGGTCCTGGTCCTGGTCCTGGTCCTGGTCCTGGTCCTGGTCCTGGTCCTGGTCCTGGTCCTGGTCCTGGTCCTGGTCCTGGTCCTGGTCCTGGTCCTGATCCTGGTCCTGGTCCTGGTCCTGGTCCTGGTCCTGGTCCTGGTCCTGGTCCTGGTCCTGGTCCTGGTCCTGGTCCTGGTCCTGGTCCCGCTCCCGCTCCCGCTCCCGCTCCCGCTCCGCTCCTGCTCCTGCTCCTGCTCCTGCTCCTGCTCCTGCTCCTGCTCCTGCTCCTGCTCCTGCTCCTGCTCCTGCTCCTGCTCCTGCTCCTGCTCCTGCTCCTGCTCCTGCTCCTGCTCCTGCTCCTGCTCCTGCTCCTGCTCCTGCTCCTGCTCCTGCTCCTGTCTAGAACTGGAATGATCCATAGATCCCATAGTCCAATCAAGAATAGTTAAAATTCTGGTCTTAGCTCTTGTTAACGTTAAAGAGAAAAGGTCGAAGGTGTTATCTTTGAATTTGTTTAAGTTGGAATGAAGTGATGTTCTTAGACTGATGTCGTGCATAAGAGGGTTTATCACCGAATTTATTGGTAGAACAAGAATTGAAAATAGGGGGTACCACGGTGTTGCATCTAAAATGTCGGCGTAGTGAAGGCAGCAAGTAATAATGAACGGCACCCAGCATGCAAAATCCGTGAAAATAATCCATTGAGTAACTCTTTGTAGTTTGGCGTTTCTTTTTCTCGCCGGTTTGTCCAATCCTCCGGTTTTTTTACTATTGCCTTTCACTTTCAGTGTGCTCGCAGATTTCTTTGCCTTAACAACTATTGCAACATAACAAACTGCTATAGTCACAAAACAGGCAAAATTAAGGCAAATGATCGCGAAAACAAAACCCAGCTGAGGATCTTTAATTTTTACATAATACTTAAATAAACAAACCGGTGCGTTTCCATAGAACGAAAGTTTGTAACGAGAAATCCCTCCATAGTCATTGGAGAACATGTCGTCTACAAAAACTTTTATTTGAGCCCAAGTGAGGTCCTCAGCTGCTATCCTGCCATAATACTTTTGTAGTATTTCTCGGTGTACATATTTATCCGGACAGCCAATAAACAATGAGTTTGAGTCTTCATATTTGACACCATTCACAAAGAAATCTTCGAGTTGTTCAACTAAAGGCAGCCACGAAATTACTGATGAAACCAATAAAATAGAGGAAACTGTTGCAACCACTTTCATCCAACTTTTTTGTGTGATTTCTTTAGGAATCGCGAAATCGTTTTGTGTACCGATAACTCTCAGTAAGCCCAGAGTAGTCATGGATAGTAGGGATACTTGGGAGCCGGTAGTGCTTAAAATTCCTAGAGCGACGCAAGTGTTACTAGAAAGCCAGTTTAGCTGAATCGAGCAGTACGTTATATTGTGGTAAGAATTGTAAATCGAAATCATGGTAAGGTAGATTCCAATCAAGAAGTCGCCCATGCTGATTAGAATAACCAAGCTCTTGTTAAGAAGTGCAGGTTCTGATTTGGTAGTTCGGATACTAGAAATGTTCATGACCACTGACAAGAAATTTAAGATGAGAGCTGACACGCCAATGGCCCAAGCAACAAGCTTAAGAAAAGTGCTGCTGACAATTTCTTGACCACAACTTTCATTGCATTCGTCTGAAATGTCGGAGCAGTGAACTGTTATATCACATTTCTGGGTGATTGGAAGGTACACGCCAGATTTTTGGCATTTGAAATGGTTAGTGCACTCTGACTCATCTGAACTATCTCCACAATCATCAGCTAGGTTGCACACTTTGTCGTAAGTGATACATTTGCTGTTTTCACAAAGGAATAAATCATTGCCGAGTTTTCCTGTTTTGAAATCTTTGATCAGGAAAGTAAGTTTACCCCCTTTGTCTTGGGTGAATATTTTGTCAATATCGAATTGTCCTCTGCACGAGTCCCACCTAATTGATCCTTTAAGTGGGCAGGTTGTATTTATGCAACGTCCCAAACAGCTTAAAAAAACATAATACTCTCCATAAAAGTATTTGCAGTCTTTTTTTACGTCTGGGAGAATTATCTCAGTAGTTTTATTCCGTCCAAAGATGTCTGTGTCGGGGAAAAGGAAACTTGCTTTTGAACAATGGTGGTTAATAAGATTTGATATTTCAATAAGTCCTTTCAGGCAATGAAGCATTCTCAGTTGCATCTTGCTATCTCTTATGGCTGTTGAAAATGGTACAGACTGAATTCTCGACACACTGCAGATATCATTCTCATTACCGCAAGATTCTTTCCTATCACATAGGTTGGAAAAGCTTACGAACTTTTGGTCCGAGTTGTAACATAGGAATACCTCGTCACATTCAGATTCATCGTGTTTTACTAGGTAGAATGTTGACCCCTTTCCACAGGTTGGCCAATTAAGATTTTCATCCTCACCATCCTTGCAGTCGGATAATCCATCGTGGACCCATGCAAAAGGGTAAATAATGTTATTTGGAACCTGGGAAAGATGCCTTCTCATACATTTCTGTGTGGTCATAATTTGGCATAGATCCAGAGTTTCGTCACTACCATCACCGCAATCTGGGTGACCATCACATAGGAGGTGTTTGTGGATGAAACAGGAGTCACTGCTTTCAACGCATGCTTTATCGATCCCATCGTCACATATTTCTGGAATGGAATTGATGGAAATTATGGTTTCGATGTTTAATTCATTCCTATCTATACTCTGCAATCTCAGACAGATGATCTGTTTAGCAACAGTGGTACTGTATCCACGAACTGAGCATTCTATACCCACTCTAGATGGGTCCGAGCAGTTGGTTTGGTCAATGTAATCGTCACAAAATTGTATTATTTCGTTTGGCAAATTCAAATCAACTCTGGTACGAACTCTTGCGGCACACCGGGTATAATTATGAAGCGGAACTATAACCCATGTTCTTAAATTGAAGCACGTTGTTGTCATTTCATCGATCACACAATCCTTTTCATCGCTCCCATCATGACAGTTTTTTACTCCGTCACACACAAAGTTTGCAGTAACATAAGAATTGTAATCGTTCTTCGGAGAGTCCCCACACTGAAAACCGTATTCAAAACCATTACAAAACTGTTCGTCCCTGCAATTTTCAAATATGGGGCACATTAGGTCGCACAGCTCAGAGTCTTTTTGATCTTTACAGAAAGCCTCATCGAGGTCTGTATTAAGGCAGTCATTCTTCCCGTCGCAGGAACGAATTCCAAACTTCCCGTCAGAGTAGACGTCAGCCATGTGAATGATAACTTTTATTTGTTTGCTTTGATACATTTCTGTCAGGCAAAGATATCCACATGGGTATTCACCTGGTTTGGGAAAGTTGTGTATTTATTATAGAGACAGTAAACACGGCACACAAACCTATCTAATTCTGATGACCCCTAGACAGCCGTGAGTTCACATTACACAGTGCACGAGGTGTCTGTCTATGTAAATACCAAGCGGAACGTGTGTTTACATTGTCATGTATATTAACTACCTTATCGGACCTTATTTGGACGGACATTACTTGAACGTTGGAGGCCCTAACGTTCATCTTAATGTCCGTTCAAATAAAGTCCGTTCATTTAAGGTCCGTCCAAGTTAAAGTCCGTTGAATTTTTTTCAAAAATTTTCACTTCGAACTTTTTGTCCAGAATATGACAACTATGAGAACTTTATTGTGCCGTAAGTTAACGACGGAAAGGTTCTCCAATTGGTCTGACGGAGGCACATAAAACTCTACTAGTATATGATGTTTTCAAGGGTCACTTGGCGGAAAAAGTCAACGAAATTATGGCACTCAACAACATAGTTCCCCGCCAACATGACAAACTTGTTCCAGCCTCTAGATATTACGGTGAATCGTGTTGCCAAGGACCTTGTCCGACGTTGTTATCAGTTATAGTTCATATTAATCCGGGGAGGTAATGAAACAGTGCGGGGTAGTTTGATAAAAAAAGGTTTCCATAAAACTAGAAATCATTGATGCTTTAAGCATGGACTATTTCATGCACAAAAACCCATTTGATGAAGATGATATGCGTGGGGCTCCGTGAAGACCAACCTACCTGTGGGGCTGCAAGGGGGGCCCCCGATTATTAGGGGTCAGATCATATGACGTATAATTAGTGATTTGACGTATAATTAGTGATGTGATCCACCAGCTATGATTTACAGAACATGTGAACTCTACCCTATATTTAGCCCAGTTTAATTCCGTACTTTTGATTTAAATTAACAAGACAATAGACATTTTTTTGTAGGATAATGATTGTCCACAATGACTGACCCAAGGTAAGTCTTCTCTAAATAATTCACTATATACATTAGCTTAGGATAGTTTGTCTGCATATAGTAAGTTATTTCATAGAAGACTTCCTCGACATCAGCCACTGGAACAAAAGCAAGAAATACAACAACAAGCCTTGCAGCTCTGGCAAACAGTTTATCTGAAAAGTATAAACTGAGTGCTCCGACAGTGTCTTCATGTTCCTGCTAGTGGCGAATACGATGAATCTGACTCCCCGATCTGTAGAACCATCACATCCATACGAGAACCCCCTTTAGCAAGAGCTCCGATCCCGTCCCTTATGTGATCTACGAGTCGAGCAGTCAGATCATGTTTACTTCTTAATGTACAGCTATGATTTTCAGAATTGACATGTGAACTCTACCCTATATCTAGCTCATTTCTGGGTCAATTAAATT